AAATTAATTAATTTGACTGGAGGTAGACAGTTATGCTGCAATCTCATATTAAATTTAATAATTATAAGTAATTAATTTATAATTTAGACATTTTAAAAATTTAATTTGGAGTTGGTCATTAAATTTAATACAAGATGGCAACATAACTGCCTACCTCTAGTCAAATTAATCAATTTATAATATTTAATTATAGCCTTTACATAGCCCAAGAATTTGGCATATCGTTTGGTGTGTTTATTATATAACGAGCTATGATTGTCAATGTAATATGTGTGAACACAAGTTTGGAAAAATGTGTGATCACGAGCAATACTAAGTTACTAGTGGAACAAGTGCTAATATTGGACCATGCGCACAATCTGGGATTCCCCTCTTCATCACTTGTTATGCGAAACATCACTCGTTAAGGGAGTCATTTTTTTTACAATTTGTTTTGCTCATTATGCAAGGCGCTCGTTAAGCAAGATTCCACTGTATACAGTTTTGATCAGTGCAGATTTCAGCTGATGTGAATCTGTTCTGAGGGAAGTTTACTGTTGTCATCTTGACAAAGCTTAGAACTGATTCCATATTGCTATTTCTGCTCATTGTTACTTAGTATGAAAAAGTAACTTTAATTTACCTAGCGCAGTGCTCTTATTTGGATAATTTAATCTTTATTTTCACATTTTGTGTAATTTCTGTTTTAATTCTGCCATTTTTCATGAAATGTTACAAAGGGGAAGAAAGGTATTAATTGTGCAAGCCATCCCATCCTTGATAAATATTTTGCTTAATTTTTAAAATTTTTTACTTCAGTTTTCTTTTTATGGTCTACTTTATTGGTTTGTCTAACTCTATAATACATCTTTATTGTTATTTTCTGTTGTTTCAGTTTTTGTTCAATTATACTGCACTTTGTTAATAATTCTGCAATAAACATTTTAAAATTTGATTTCTTCATTTTCCAAGTTTTTACTCCACCTAAGTGTATATGAATGTAAAAGTTATGATCTCAGATGAATTATTAATAATCTAATTTATCAATTAATTTATTTCCCATTAACTGTTAACTTCAACATGTGCAATTTTGACATGAAGTATACTTGTGAAATCAATCACATATATCAAGGGTTACTTGTATGTAATATAATAAAATTAAAGAGAATTATTACTCAAATCTTTTTGATACTATGTTGGGCTATATATATATATATATATATATATTAAATCTATAAAAGTTTGTTCATATTGCTTATAAACTGATAAAAAACAGCAGTATAAAAAATCTGTACATTTTATTTTAATTTTTTTTAATATTCTAATCTTGTTGCTCTTCTGTATAATTGTAAAATATTAATAGAAGACAAAACTAAAAGTCTTTATAATTTAATTTAATTATAATATAATCCCTGCTAGAAAAATAGACTTGTAATTAATAGTTATATAAATCGCCGACAGATGGCACAAAGAGCATTTTTAAGAAAATTTTAATTTATGCTAATTTATGCAAATTTATGCCTCTCATGTAATTTGCATAAATTAGCAATATTTTATAGAAACGCATTAATTAAGGCGTAAATACGTTTTAAAACACAAAAATTACTTTTAAAAAATTTTAAAATTATATATTAATTTATTCGCATAAATTTGAATAAATTATGTTAATTATGAATATTTTATTTTTAATAAATTTTGGATTTTTTTAAAGAAAGTGTATAAAGATTATTAATACTAAAAAGCTAATTTAAAGGAGAAAATGGCCTTTGATGATAAAGAGAATTTAATTAAAAATTTAGAAGAATAAATGTAAATTTTTTGAAAATTTAAAAAAAAAATGAGATGATATCAATAATTTTTATGGAGAGTTTATTGTTAAACTTTGGTTAATGATAGCGGAGAAGAAAAGAAGAAAGATGATGTATGACGATCATCCTCAACAAATTTTATTAGAAGACCTTTATTTAGTTGAAAAGTATCGAGTTATGAAATACGAGGAATATCCTCAATGGAAGTAAAGTATGACTTCCGCTCGTACATCAAATTTGAATTATTTTCCACATAAATTTTTATTATTATATATTTTAACTGGATAAATTTGACCTTTTTAACAGAAAAAAATATATAAAAAATCGAGTCGAATAAAAAGGAAAAACGAGTATTTTTTTAACGTGATACGAAACTTATAACGCTTGTTATTTCAACACTTCTCGTGCTTTATTTTATTTTTATTTATTTATTTTAAAGAAAATGTTTCGTATTGTCTTTATATATTTTATATATAAAATTTTTTAATCATTTAATTTTTTTATTGTAATTTTTTTAAATGTAATATTTTGTAGTCGCCATTTTTTAAAACGAAATGATGGATGCTTCAGCACTTTTTTTCTGAAATTTTGAATGGATTTTAATGAAATTTTCTCTTTTATATCCAAGTTTTTATGAAGAGTTTTCGTACGACACGAATTGTTACATTTGAATCTAATTAAATTTTTAAAAAATAAACTTTGAGTCGCCATTTTTGAGATGGAAAATGGAGGATGCTTCTGTACTTTCTTTAGGATCATTTCTGTAATTTTGAATGGATCGTAATGAAATTTTATTTTAGTATCCAAGTTTAATGAAGAATTTCGTACAACATAAATTGTTTCATTTCAATATAATTTAAATTTTATAGTCGCCGTTTATGAAAACAAAATGATAGATTCTTCAGCATTTTCTTTCATAACTTTTCTCGCATAATTTCTATATTTTTCAATAAATTCGAATGAAATTTTCTTTTTAATTTCTAGTATTAATGATGAATCTTACATCAGAATAAAATATTTCATTTCAATGAATTGAAATAAACTGACGTCAATTCATATATTTTTTTTCAAAATCTGAATTAATATATAACGTATACATCTATTTATTTTTTACATTAAAAATTTAAAATAATAATAATAAAAATAACATAATCCCTGACGTCAGACTCTGACATACACATCAGTGACAAATCACATGAGTATAGATAATTGCAAAATAATGCTGAAGATCATTTCTATAAACTTCGTGTATCATCCAACTCAATAATGATCGCTCGTAAAGATTTATACCTAAATTATCTGTTTATCAATTATATCTAGACTTATTTTAATAGTTAAATATTTAAAGATTAATGGTAAATTAACATTTTACTAAATATATTACTTTAAACATTATTAACGGTGAGTTAAAGAACGTATTTTCTAGTTAAATGTCACTTCTCCTCAATGCTTGGTTATATTACAGTAAAGCAACCTTTACAGGAGCAATGCTGTTATGCTGTTTGTATAATGTGCACCTGCGACCCACCATAAATTTCGAAAATATATTTTTATTTTGGAAGTAATATTGCACTTTTTATTGCATTCGTTTTTTACTTTAAAATATATGAAAAGTTTAAGTTTACTTTCTATTTTTTTTTTTTCTAGTTATCGATTCTTAAAAAGGTGTCGTTCATTCTTAATCTGAAATTTGATCGTGTCCTTTCTATAAGCGAAAATTAATTAAATAAAAATTAATAATTTTTTGCAAAATTTTTAGTGTTTTGAAAATATGATTGATTATAAATATTTGCTCCTTTCGTAAATTCGATAATTTTTTTTTCTCTTTTTTAGAATTTTGTTATTCAGGAATCATCTCGTTTACATATATTAAAAACGTTTTCGATATATCTTTTTAAAATATCTATACTTTAAAATTTTACGCAAGGATACTTTGGAAAATTTTCCTGTTGCAGATACCAATTTTTTAGGGGCACGTCTTAGCACATTCCTGTCAATCAACGTTTTAAAATTCAAGTGTGGTGCAACGTTTTTGTACATTTTTCAGAGTTGTGTTAAAGAGAGAGAGAGCAGGAGAAGGAGGAGGAGGAGGAAGAAAAAGAAGAAGAGGAGGAGGAGGGGGGAGGGGAAAAATAATAAAGAATAAAAGCAAAGAAACGAGAAACTGTCAAAATTTGGGGCTTTTCATTACAGGAAAACGATTAGCCAAGTAGCAAGAAAAGAAAAAGAATGTGCAGGGGCGATTAAACAAGGAGAGTGTCTAGTGCTATGATAAAGCTAAGAATGTCTCACCATTAAACGCTATCTCTCTCCGACCAGAGATGACTTCACGTGACTTAACGGGACACTAAAATGCGATCACGTGACCACGTGTCGCTCGGAGATAGTGTTAGAGACCTAAAAGGAGGACGAAGAGGATAGAAGAAAAGGAAGATAATTTATTGCCGGATATATATATATATATATGTGTGTGTGTGTATTTTCTTTTTACTCCAGCAATTCTAGTTTGTAATAATTATATTTTAAAAATCAAAAATAATTATAATTTACTCTTAATAATTCATTTTATTGCTTTGGTTATTTGTAAAGAGGTTTTTAAGATAAGAAAAAAAAATTTAATTTCTTTAAGTTTAGACAGCGCTTTCTTTTTTGTTTAATAAAAGTTTGTTTTGGAAGGTTTCTGTAAAAGAATGTTCAAACTGTAGAACTTTTTCTGATAAAGGCTATCTCACAAAATTAAAAATCAGTGAAAGTTCATTTCGCTCTTATCAATTTTGTGTGCGTTTTATATTAGAAATTCTTCATTATTTAATCGCGTCTTGGATCCTTTTTATATCTAGATGCGTTATAGGTGGGTTACGCGCGCTACGTTTACTGATGTATAGAAATGTATACGGTACATTTTTCCATTTTTAACAAGGTTTTTAATATAGAAAATCGCTTCGTTCCGATAAATTTTTCCCGTTTAGGCAGGTTTCCGTTTTGGACAGGTTCTATCGTACATAAAGATTTATATTTACTTGTTAGAAAAACTATTAAATATAATAAAATATTCGTAATTAAATCTATTATTAGGTTACGAAACACTACGATAATTAATAACATTAACAATACTTAAAATTATTTAATTGTAATTAATTTTATTATTATTTAAATTTCTTTGTTTCTTATAAATTTTAAAAATTAAATTCGTAATTTTTATCAAATTTTAAGTAAAGGAAAATAATAACTAACCTGTATGACAATGGGCATGGGAGCTCCAATCCCATCAACAGACAAGGCAACATGAAAGGATTGAGTTCTCGCCATGGCTACAGTGACGTAAGTGGAATGGTTAGATTGAAACACAGTCCAGTCTTCTCCTGGGAGATCCCCATAGGCTATTTCTCCTGCTCTCGTCAGTCTTAACAGCTGTGACTTGGGATTTAGTTGGCAATCTCGTAGGGCTAAGTTTGTGTGAACGTATAGCGGAAATCCTGCACGATAACATAATCCCTGACGTCAGACTCTGACATACACATCAGTGACAAATCACATGAGTATAGATAATTGCAAAATAATGCTGAAGATCATTTCTATAAACTTCGTGTATCATCCAACTCAATAATGATCGCTCGTAAAGATTTATACCTAAATTATCTGTTTATCAATTATATCTAGACTTATTTTAATAGTTAAATATTTAAATATTAATGGTAAATTAACATTTTACTAAATATATTACTTTAAACATTATTAACGGTGAGTTAAAGAACGTATTTTCTAGTTAAATGTCACTTCTCCTCAATGCTTGGTTATATTACAGTAAAGCAACCTTTACAGGAGCAATGCTGTTATGCTGTTTGTATAATATAACGTAGTAAAGTTTTCAGCGCTTATTTTCGAATTAAATATGTAAATAATTAAAATTATTACTTTAATGAAAGTATGTATTAAAATCAAATATAAAAATTCTTATTTATAATTATTATTTTAAATATTTTTTAGCATCTAAATTCAGTTTTATGAACAAATAAAAGAATGCTCATTTAACTGAAATTACAGTAAGAAAAATAATAATAAAAACAAATAATAAATATTATTTAAAATTCATCGTACAAATAATTCTCATTTATACTTATTAAAATTAAAAATAAATTCCGATTATCTTAAGTAGAACGTTCATAAATAATTCATTAAAATTTAAGATCGTTTCCTAATTTTTTCCCCTTCTTCTAAATCTTATCCTTTGATAATTTACCGTAATTTATAGCTTTACTTAATTATTAAAAACTACGAAATCATTAATTATCTTAAATTATATTTACTTAGATAACAAGTAATTGCCATTTATATCGGTTTTCTCTTATGTAAATTTTAGGCGAGAATAATCGAATTTTTTAACGTATAAAATAGGATAAAAATGCGATATATATATATATTTGTATGATGAGGTATAAAGTATAAATCATAATTTAATCCCTTTTTCGTAGATAATGTAAGCATTCAACTAATTTAGAATATAACAGAATCCTTTCTAGATACCAGGAAACTTATATTGAATCCATATATCCAGTGAGAAAAGAAGAAAAAAAAAGGCAGAATTCATGCATTCGATGATGAGATCAATATAACAAGATTAATGCTGAAAGGAAACCTTACCTTTCAGTTGCGATCCAACCAAACTGTCCTCGCTACTCTTCATAAATCCAACAATTCCAACGTTATATTCTCTACAATATTTATCCAAAAGTTCCCTGTTCCATTTATTCATATTTAAATATTTTTCTAGATTTTCAAAAACAATTACTGCAAATTTTCCTTTATCTAAATTGGTTAAAAGCGGTAAACTCTTTGCGGCAATTTCCATTTTAAATCTAAAATTAAAGAAGATAAAATAATAAGTGAAATTAATTAAAGATGCATTTCTATTACTGTATCTAATTAGTGAGAAGCTTCGAATTTTATCTATTAGGATATGCTATTAAATAATTAGAATAATGGAATGATCAAAGCGTGTGTGCAACTAAACATCATCAGAGGCAAGTTACAGATAATTCGACAAATTGAGTTATGCTTAAAAAGTTAAAAGTTTTGTAACAATTTTATAAAATTGCTGTGTAGAAAATTTCTTTATTACTGTTGAATTAATTTTAATTTTAAAAATTAAGAATAAAATTTAACTTAATTATATCTAAAATATAAAATGAAAATTATATTTCTGAAACAAAAATTAAATTAATTGTATTTAAAATAAATTAAGGTTCAGGAAAGAGAAATTAAATAAATAAAAAAATTCTAGAACATTGGTGGTCCACTGCGTAACATAACTAAATAAAGAATATAAGAATTAAAGCTGATTGGTTAGAATTGTATTTGTATTAGCGACGATTGGATGAAAATATCGAGTAGGCGTGGTTATGTTTATTTTTAAATTTTTTTCTAAGCTTTTTAACCAATCAACTTTAAGTTTTACTAAAACATATATTCGTTGTCTAACTTATAAAACAGGGGACGATACATATTTACAGACAAATTTTAACTGTTTTCTGTAACATTTTCATGATTATTATATATATATTTACAGTTTATATAGCATACAAATAGCTTAAATTTTTAATATAATTCTGTTTTAAAGATACAAAATTAAGCAATTTATTTTTTTACAAGCTAAATTTAATTATAATTCTTTCAATAAATTATTACATATAAATATTCAATTTTAAAATAAATTTCTTATGGTAAAAATATTTAAAAAAAAAAACACATCCAAACTAAATTTCTGGAGTATATATGTGTGTGTGTGTGTGTATTTTCTTTTTACTCCAGCAATTCTAGTTTGTAATAATTATATTTTAAAAATCAAAAATAATTATAATTTACTCTTAATAATTCATTTTATTGCTTTGGTTATTTGTAAAGAGGTTTCTAAGATAAGAAAAAAAAATTTAATTTCTTTAAGTTTAGACAGCGCTTTCTTTTTTGTTTAATAAAAGTTTGTTTTGGAAGGTTTCTGTAAAAGAATGTTCAAACTGTAGAACTTTTTCTGATAAAGGCTATCTCACAAAATTAAAAATCAGTGAAAGTTCATTTCGCTCTTATCAATTTTGTGTGCGTTTTATATTAGAAATTCTTCATTATTTAATCGCGTCTTGGATCCTTTTTATATCTAGATGCGTTATAGGTGGGTTACGCGCGCTACGTTTACTGATGTATAGAAATGTATACGGTACATTTTTCCATTTTTAACAAGGTTTTTAATATAGAAAATCGCTTCGTTCCGATAAATTTTTCCCGTTTAGGCAGGTTTCCGTTTTGGACAGGTTCTATCGTACATAAAGATTTATATTTACTTGTTAGAAAAACTATTAAATATAATAAAATATTCGTAATTAAATCTATTATTAGGTTACGAAACACTACGATAATTAATAACATTAACAATACTTAAAATTATTTAATTGTAATTAATTTTATTATTATTTAAATTTCTTTGTTTCTTATAAATTTTAAAAATTAAATTCGTAATTTTTATCAAATTTTAAGTAAAGGAAAATAATAACTAACCTGTATGACAATGGGCATGGGAGCTCCAATCCCATCAACAGACAAGGCAACATGAAAGGATTGAGTTCTCGCCATGGCTACAGTGACGTAAGTGGAATGGTTAGATTGAAACACAGTCCAGTCTTCTCCTGGGAGATCCCCATAGGCTATTTCTCCTGCTCTCGTCAGTCTTAACAGCTGTGACTTGGGATTTAGTTGGCAATCTCGTAGGGCTAAGTTTGTGTGAACGTATAGCGGAAATCCTGCACGATAACATAATCCCTGACGTCAGACTCTGACATACACATCAGTGACAAATCACATGAGTATAGATAATTGCAAAATAATGCTGAAGATCATTTCTATAAACTTCGTGTATCATCCAACTCAATAATGATCGCTCGTAAAGATTTATACCTAAATTATCTGTTTATCAATTATATCTAGACTTANAAAAAAAAAGCATTTTATTGAACTGAAATGTCCTTTCTATGTCTTCGCCAGAAATTCTTCATTGAGATACAATGTTGAAAAATTGTAGGCCTATAAATTACCTGCATCGTCCGTCTCACTGTCTGTCTGTCTTCCTTAATCTCGAGAACGATGTTAGATAGATAAAAATCAACACCAGATATGGAAAGATTAGAGGTAGGAGGCCCCGATTAACTATACGCAAACTTCCAGTCTAGATCGGTTGAGAGCATATATATTAAATTAAATTAATTAAAAATATGATTAAAAATTACAGCCCGACATTGTGACCTGTCACGATAATTTTTGCTTGTTTATAATTTATTTATTCTTTTTTATCTCTTGCATCTCTCTCGTTCATCAAAATACACGAGAATCCTGTTACTTAATTATATTTTAAAGGCTAAATAATTAAAATTTTTAATAATATATAGCCAGGTAGGAAGGAAATTCACTTACCTAATCCTACTCGCTTCCAATATTTCGCAGATTTGCCTTCCTAGTTGAGAATATTGAGTTTCAACAAAGACCAATACTCGAGGATCCAATTTCAAATTAGCGCTAGCTAATCCTAAATGAGCAGGAGGAACACCATTTTCTGATTCTGGATTGGAATGGCATTTGAAAGGTGCAGTTCTCATCCCAGTTTTCATGCTGAAACAAAGGAAAAAGTATATACAGCACGTGATAACATCATTACCTTTTCCTCCTCTCTTCGAAGGTTGGAAGAGGAGGAAAAGAAATAAGAAAATCTTATCATCATCAATTATTTATTTTAGTTTGGGATTTTGTCTCCAAGGTTTTTAATTCGGAAAAGTTTCCAAAGATTAGTTTAAAAATCAATTTAATCATTGTTAGGGATCGGGTCCTTTATTCGTGTACAATGAAGTGTAAAATCAATTTTCGGAAATTATACGATTCTTACTCGAAAAGTAATTTGGATTTTTCTATCTGATAGCACGGAGGATAAGAGAGATCCATTATTGATACCAATCTGATATCCTGCTTAGATCAAAAGGATACCACTTCACTCTTACGAGTTAATAACTGATAAAAGGGGAAAGAAGCATCTGCTCTCGATAAAAGTACCTTTGTCCTTAATATTTTCATTAGAGAATGTGGAAAAAAAGGGGTTCCTACCTGTTGGATTTGATCTCCGAATTCATTTTTCTGACATATTACCATCCATTGATATCATTTATTTCCTCCATTCTTATATAAATCTTAAGAGAAATCTACAATTTTATTGCTTTTTTCCGGGTGATTTATATTAAATTTTTCTATATGCATGCATAAATTAGCATGTAAATTATTAATCTGTCTTGTCTAATGCGTTAAAGAATTATGCACATAGATTATATACATAAGTACTCGTTTCTCATAATTGTGTTTGTGTACAGATAATTGTATCGGTGTTATGCATATAAATCTGTTGTTTATGCCATGAATACAGAAGTCAGCCCCGATATAACGCTCCCATTTGTTCAGAACTAAGCGAGGTTGGCGTTACATCGAGGGGCGCTAAAACGGGTGTCGAATTTATCTGTCCTTTATGCAACGAAGAAAAGGATAAGGTGCATAAAAATTTATTTCTAGGATATTTAGTGACTGTTTTTTTAAGATAACTTACATCTATATCTTGATTAAATTTATAACAGAAAACGATAGAGAATATTTTGTTTACAGCAGAGCGAGAGAAGGTAAATTAGTTAACTGAATGAGTAAATTTACACAAACAGAAATGAAGTAAATTACATTAAGAAGTCAAACATTAATTAAAAATTTCCAACCCTTAAGAGACGTTCATTACTTAATTTTTTTTTTAAATAAATGAATATTCAGTAACAGAATTTATCTTTGATGAAAGAAGAAGAAGAAGAAAAAAGAGTGTAAGGAACAGGAGAATATTCCTAACTTTCACATCTAAGAAGGAAGTGGAAGGCAAGGAAAAACGAGATGACAGCACTGACAGGTGACAATCGAACTGTGAGATAAGCGTGTTCAACTTATATAGGCACCTGATGACATCTGTCTTATCTACAGCTCTGGAGATGTCACAGCATCAGAGATCATCCATCATCATTCGATAGCATACTTTCTCTAGAAATTTCTCATTATGTATAAATTGCAAATTCAAATAATAATAATAATAATAAAAATAAGCTGACGAATAAACTAAAAAATAAAAATAAATAAAATTCTTTCACCATCCCCTCTCTAATTATGCTCATGATAATGATAATTTAAATGTCTTTAATGTTAATTAGCGGCGATTAGATATTATAATTAAATGCTTTGCTGTGGGGGTGATCTGGGAGGATGTAGGCTGTGGGGATGATGTGGAGAATGCTGTAGGGATACTCTGGGAGGATAATGTAAAAATACAATGAGAATGAAGACAAATTAAATGTACCTAAAGCACCATTTATTTATAATTTTTTAAGTTTAATTTTATTCCTAATCCTCCGGAGGGGATCCAGCATCCGAATCACTCCCACGCCTCATTATAACATTATAACGAGATTTAATTATTAACGAGAATATAATTAGCTAATTATATCAATAAAGTTAATTTTTTTAAAGTTTAAAACGTTAATTACTTAAGATTATAAAGCGGAATGGCATTAACTTACCTGTGTAACTGAAACCTGGAGATATAATAGGAGAAGACAAAGAGGGAAACAACGCTGAGAGCAACTACTAATAACAAACATTTCCTGATACTTGAACGGTTGGCACAGCAATAGCGGCACCAATTTCCACTACTTTCCACTATCATTACGGGTCTATCTGGCCTTCCATTACCTGCACACGTATCCTGCTTTGATACGACCGCTGAGACGATTTTCCATTCCTTGCTTAATGAAAATGTGATGCACTCCGCACAACACTGAAAACAACAGAAAAGGCAAGAGATTCATTTTATTATCCGCATCTTCAAGCTAAATATATTAAATTATGAGAGACATTCTTTAACTTTTTATCTATGGCTGTGTACATATTTAAAATGCTTTCTGTAATGCATTCTTCTTCTATTTTCCTTATCTTATTGTGACTTAATGAAGGGATGATGAAAAATTATTGTTTTCTATATTGCGCTTGATGCGCATCATTTATTTAATTGTTTATTAATTTGATGGAAGGATTTTTCTTAATATTTGCTTACATATTTTCAAATGTTCAAGTGAATGTTTTTTTTTCACTTTTAATCAGTGAAACGTCTTAGAATTCATACTTTTAATGTTTACTTATGCAAAGTAGCTTATTCTTAAGCGTGTAAAATTGCTAATTTAGGCGATACATATGCGAAATTGCATATTTGTAGATAATGTATGTAAAAATTAACACTTTTAAGGTATTTTATATGCAAGTATATAGGTTCTTGTATTTTATATAAGCGTAAAAATACGTTGGGAATGCGAAACTTCCATAGTTTTAAACGTTATATTTGAAAAATGGCTTTGTATAGCATATATATAAATAATGTGATCGTTAAATATAATTACACATTATTAGACAGTATACATATTGCTGAATATGCAACAATATCTCTTAGATCAGTGTACAAATGTAAGTGTGTGTGTGTATTTTATAACTTCAAAAAATAAAACAAAAATTTAACACTGGAAATAAAATGTGAAGGAGTAAAATATCATGAAAATGTTGGAGTGATGAGATAAATGTAATTTTAATAAATTCAAGAGATATCTCGTGAGAGAAGCAAGATCCTTCAAAGTCAATCATTTAACTAATTTACAAGATTAGATCAACTTTCTCTTACGGAATTAATTAGATAGATGTAAACACTTTTAGTAATTGTTCCAATAAGTTTCTTTTTTTTTTTTCTCCCTTCTACTTTTTTCCCAACATTGAAGACGTTTCTTTGTTTACATGCTTAATTTCGTTTAAGAAAAAGAAGGAAGAGGTTTAATTAAAATTGCGTGTTGATTGAATATATAAGATTGGTTTTAGAATTTTATTTTATTTTTTATTTATTTTTTTTTAATCTTCCTTTTCTCACACTTTCTCTCTCAAACTAAAATGACATGATTCAACTGAATAGTTTGACTTTGAGGAAGTATTCAGTAGGAATATTGAATAAGTGTATCTAGTATGTGGTCAAATATACTCAAATAATGAATATAACTATTATTCTAATATTTAATACAAAATAATTATTTTTTACTAATAAACATAACTGAATAATAATAATAATTATTATTCTAGTAATAAAGTTAATGTTAAAATGTGATCTCATTAATACTGCACTACAGAGTAACTACAGAAGTGGAAATGAGCCAATAATTCTAGCCAAGAAAACAAATTTTTGAATTTCATAAAATTTATGTAACATAACTTCAAGCACAATAAATGCTGTATACTGAAGATTAAGCAAAAAATATTATAATAAATATAATTATTTCATCACTTCACACTTTTATAAATGATGTATTTACTTAAACATCTCTCTTCATTTCAATTGGATAAATCAATTTTGTTTTCATTTTTTTTCATAAATTTTACTTAAACCTGATACAGTCTAAGTATATTTATATGCATATATATGTAATTATATTTCTAAATTATCATAAATTTTATACTACTATAATTTTATTGTTCACTGATAAACTATAATATCTCTACAAATAAGCAAACATGAAAAAGAAAACATTATATAAAAATACTTACTTTCCAGTTCTCACTTGTTTAATGTGATGAAATACATTTATAACATCTCTTATTCTACGAGGAGCTTCTTCAATTTTAGATGCCAAAGTGATGCATGCCATGGCCACAATCTGCAGATAAAATCATGTAAAATGCATTTTGATATTTTTTACATATTATTCTAGAGAATCGCCAAATGGAAACCAACATTTTTGGACAATTTTCTAATCTTCAAATCAGCTGTAAATAAAATTTTCCCAAACTAACAACTAAAAGTACTTTCTATTTAAAGTTTTCAATTTTTAAAAATTTGTGTTCCTATTAAAATGGCACAGATCTTTTCATTTTAAAATGTTAAATTAATCATTTAATCGTATCTAAGACTGATGGTATTAGATCTTCCACATTAATCTTCAGCTTGGAAATAAAAACTTCAGTCCTCATCATAAAACTTGCTGCACATCTGGAAGAATTGAGAGCCATGCACAAGACAAACATCTATTCTGCAACTAGTACCATTCCATAATTACACCAGGCTCTCAATTCCCCAGATTTGCAGTAAATTTTATGAGGACCAAAGTTTATTCCCAAGCCAAAGATCAATACAGAAGTTTAATATTAGACTAATATTAAATTATATAAGCTTCCTAAATGGATTTTTCCAATATATCAAAAACATTAATTTTGAATAAAAACAATTTTACAAGTACTGAAAATCCATTGAAACTTTGTGATTATCTTCCTAATGTCATTCATCAAGCTCCAGATGGAAACAGTCAAAGCTATCTATTTTGAAAAATATAAATATGACATTACAGTTATAATGCTTTAGAATGATAATTATTTTACTGATTAATAACAAAAATAGGCAAATTTAAGATATTGATTAATAAGGATTCTATGATTTCATGATCTTGATGTTTCCATATCATTTCATAATGTCATAAAAAACTAAAGCCTGTTGTGAACTCAAAATATTTTATAAATTATCAATTAGATTTATAGAATAATATTTATAAAAATATTAGTTTTCTTACCTCCATACTATGTCGAACAAATGACTTGGAATAGTAAAATCTTTGAAATAGTACTTGTCCTGTGGCCATTGCAACCTATAAAAAATAAATCATAGTTTCTTAAAAACAGAACTTGATATAGTAGCATATTTTTATAAAATTATCTTTAATTTATATAATTTAAAAATGAAATAAATATTAGCAAATATACATTATTCATTAATAAACCTATTCATTATTAAATATCCATATGTAATTAGACACACATTTATATGTAAAAGAGTCACTAATCATCCATCTTAAACAGGAAAATAGTTGGTTGGATTAATAGAAATGTTGGATAATTATTCTATTAATTCCACAAATTTTCAATTTAATGGAGATCAGTGTAAATATGAAATCTTATTAATAATTATTCAAAGCAATGTTCTTCAAACAATAAAAATGATGTAAGAGGAAATGCAATTGGAAAAAAAAAATTATATTTTGTATAGTACAAGCATTAATCATTAGCACAGAGTGAGCTAGGCTAATTTATTATGTGATACACTAATAAATCAGGAAGAGGAGTAGGAAAAATAGTAAAAATGCATGAACAACATACATTTGCACTATTTTGCTCACTCTTCCATGTTCATTTATCACAATATAGAAATGATAAAACAAAGTTTTATAAGTGAAAACACCTATGTATATATTATAAGAGTTTTCACTTAAAAGTTTATAATTTAATTTTAAATTTAGAACAATCTGGAAGGAAAGAATTGGCCCAAAGAGGAAGTTGAACCCACAACCTCCACTTGTCATGCAATGTGCTTGCCAGTTGCACCACCCGGACCTCCAAGCAATTTCTCCCTTCCAGATACATTTAAACTTTTAGATATAATCATCCAACCCATACATTGCACAGTAAGCAGAGGTTGCAGGTTTTTGACTCCTAATCTGAGCCAATTCTTCTCTTCCAGATTATTCTAAATTTAAAAT